GTCACAGATTAATGTTAAATTTGCAGAAATTATTACCTGGACAAAAAAAATATGACCGTATAGAAAATTAAATTTTAAATTGAGTTTCTTGTTCTTTAAACTCGATCCAAAATGGCGAACATGGTTAAAAAAAATCGCAAAGTTGCAAAAAACGGTTTTCCAAAAAAAACAAAAAAAATATAGCACCGATTGAAAAATTTTAAATGAGAAAGTTGTAGGTTTTAAAAAGATCTATCCACTGATTTTTTGTAAGTATCGATTGCTTTGTTACTTTTCGAGATATATCGAAAAAACCGTTAAAAATCATCTCTTTTCTCTTCTTCTATAACTCGTTTACGGTTACGTGCCCATATTTGCTATTTACTGCAAGCGTAGCCCGCGGCAAGCCAAAAAAGTACATTTTTGAAAAATTTAAAGATATTGATTATTTTTCGATATATCGATTTTTTGAAAAAAGGGCGCTCTCGAAAATTGACTAGATCTTCTCAGCGGATAGCCCTACAGTAACGATTTTTGGTTTATTTTCTTCGTAAAGAGTTATATTATCATGCTGATAAAAAATGTTGACGATTTTATTAATTTTAAGGATCAAAAGATGAACTTTGAAAATTGCACTTTTTTTGGGTGTTTTTTTTTCAAATAACCATTTCAATTTTTATTTTATGAAAATGACTTTTAAAGAAAGACACTGCTGACATTTTTTCACGAATTTAAAAAGAAAAACGTTTTTCTGCGACCTTCTGGAGCCGAGATAATTTTTTTATTTAAAAAAAAATTTGAGGACTCAATTAACATTTTACAGCGATGCGCTTGATGGAGGTTAATATATCTCGAAAAATAATTAATATTTTTAAAAGATTCAAAAATGTAATTTTTTTGGCTTGTCGCGGACTATGCTTGCAGTAAATAGAAAGTATGGGAACGTAGACGTAAACGAGCAATCGATACTTACAAAAAATCAGTCGATAGATCTTTTTAAAACCTACAACTTTCTCATTTAAAATTTTTCAATCGGTGCTATATTTTTTTAGTTAGTTTAGAAAAACCGTTTTTTGCAAATTTGCGATTTTTTTTAACCATGTTCGCCATTTTGGATCGAGTTTAAAGAACAAGAAACTCAATTTAAAATTTAATTTCCTATACGATCATTTTTTTTTGTCTAGGTAATAATTTCTGTAAGCATTTCTCTATAATGCTTGGACTAGTAAGCGTAAATGAAAAAATAAAATGTTTTTTATCCCAATCATGCAAATATGTGTATGTATATAGTATATTATCTCAAAAAAAAAACTAAGTCTGTTTATTTGGACCTGATTTCGACGTTTACTTGTTTGATTTGATAAAAAAATCCTTTAACTTTAACGTTAGCATTTTTTTGAATTTCTAAAGATAACAAAATAGCGCACGATATAAAGAAACACATTTCATATGCTGTGGAACAACGGCAGAAGTTGAGGAGTTTGCCGGAAGGAAAAAATTCATGTTTTTTATCCATAAAGCATTTTCAATGATCTCAATAGCCCATTCCGTATTATCCGGCTGATCGCACCCGATCATTCTGATACATCAGTCAGCAGTGCGGTCATCCGAGTGAAATTCGGCTTGTCCAGCTTAATCCAGTCCGTGTTGAACATGAATCGGATCAATGCGCTACGTACGTTATATTTTTGATGGGTTGAAGCCACAATCGAACCATTAAATTACGAAATATGAGCCAGAAGGGATTTAAATGGTATTAAAGATATTTGGGTGAGCGGATTTAAAAAGTTTTACGGAACGGGCCGATACTTCAAAATTGGATAACTCGACTACAAACATGTTGCGACGTAATGTTTTTTCTATCTCACATATTATTTTTATGTCGATATTGAGACAGGATGGTCTATTTGTTTCTTTTTTTAAATGTACTTTCCTTGATTGGATTCTGTAACTAGAATTTTTACTAATGTTAAACGTTAAACCGTAGAAGCGCCATGTTTCACACAAATAATAAAAGTCACACAGACAATAAAGCTTTGCTCCAAACCGCTACTGGAATAGGACAACAGTTTTAAATTTCCGAATTGCCGATAGAGTACGCCAACAGCAGAATAAGAATCAAATGCAGCGGACCGCATTCCTACGTGTACCCCAGCAACATATAAACAACGCGTACTTATGGATTTATTTTGTACACTTTTTAATCAATGCTTGTTTTTTGCGTTACTGTATTTACTTAAATGTAGGTATTGATAAAAATGTTTTAAATGAACGAATTTTCAAATAAACAAAATTCGTAGTGATATTTTAAACAGCTTGTAATATAATTTTTTTAATATTTGATGATGATGATAAATTTATTTTAATATAAAAGGTGGGTTATTAGTACTTCGCGGAACGTAGGTACATGGTTTTTGTTTGTATTTTGACACCCACTTATAGGTTTAATAATTAAAGATAGAAAAAAACTTTAAATACAAATGTACGTTTTTTCCTTTATTTCTTTTGACATTATCAAAATTTGCTGGTATGGAGTATATGTTTAAAGTAAAGACTCATTAAAAAAATTAAAATATATCCTTATTGAAATAACAAACAACGATTTTTATAACTAACCTTTACAACAACATAAGGAGAATACCTAAAAACGAAATAACATTAAAATACCTACCAATTTTTACACATTTTCAACATGATGATACAGTTGAAAATATGCTTGAATTTACTATATATTGCTTTGTATTTTTTCTTTCAATACTTGTAAATTTTGAGGTATTTAATAATATATTTTGTTAAGGTGTCCCCACAAAAATATGTCTAAGGGACCGAGATCGTGATTGTTTTCTGGCCACCTAAGGTTTCTAATAATATTTTTTACAGTGTTCGCTGACGGGATTCTTCCTCCAAAATAAATTTGCCGATAATCCAGAAGAACTTTTGCACATTATTGTTATTTGAATAATACAGTTTAATTATGTTTTATTCTGATAATGATAAATCCCATGTAATCTTAAAGGAAGGTTCGTTTCTGTCATGTTTGTCTGATTGTATGCGAGAGAGACAGAGTTATAGTGTGCGATAAAGGTAAATTCATAGTTTTAATTCTAAGTTGATTTATTTTATTTAGTATTTAACACAAATAAATGTGATTTCCAAACAAAAGATAAATTCCATATAACTCTTGAATTCATAATTAAATGCATTAAATTTATTTTTTAGGTTGACAATTTCCAGGATTTAACGCGCAGTCTGAAGCGATAAGTTATATTGTCTGTGATTTAATGTTGTGGTAATATGCATATTTCTCTAGAAATGATTGAAAATGGAAGGCAGGAAAAGTTATACTGACCGCGAAAAATAGTCTTGAAAAGTATTTTCGAATACTTTGAATGCGTGCCTTAGGCAAAATTCTCGTTACAACCGTTATGGCAAGGGAAATGTGTGTACTTAAAGTACCTATGCAAAAAAATACCTCGAGTGGCGAAATTTTTACGACCGCAGCTTTGAACGAGACTTTCACTGTTCAACGCTATTCTGTTTTTTTTTTGCTCGTCTGCGTCGATATTAAGTGCAACGTGATGATAATTCTTGTCACGTCGCTAGCTACTCATCGTCCCACTATGCTTAATTTAGATCAGACGCGTCGTTCCTGTAATCTATTTTACTTCTACGTGTGGTCATATTTAAAAGGACCTCGTAGGTAATTCAAGAGATGACCCAGTTCCATTCATTATACGGTAGGTTTAAAATAGTGGCTGAGCGTGTTCGTCATTCAAGATTCTATAAATAAATGAGGTAGGGTACTCAAACTAAAACTCCCCATTGATTTAAACATTTAATTACAAAAAAAAATATACGTAGAACATCAAAGGCCGTAAGTTAAATCAGTCAAGAACAAAATTTGTGGACATCTATCTATTCTATAATCACTTGCAACATGCAAGAGACACAAACAGGGTGAACCTTAAATGCATACGCGTATATTTATTGTTACTGTGTGTAGAACATGTAGTGGAGTCAAGATAGATTCGCGAAAATTACGGGAAGAGAGAATTTTTTATTTTTCGCTTTGTAAAGTTGTCAGATAACTGTAGAGTGTTCGCTAAATTATTTATTTAACAAATTAGTTGCAAAATTACAGTTTTTGCAAAATATATAAAAATATATAATTTAAAAAAAAATTACTGCGCCATTCGAAAGAACAGGAAATTATTCATAAAAAATGTTAATAAAGTTTTTTTCTAAAATGCGAATCGAAGAACGCGCGGCCCCGAGCGCGCTACACTAAATTTGTTATAACTTTTGATATAATTGATCAAATCGACCTCACAAAAATTTAAATAAAAATGAGTCATCCGGCTATCAAAATTTTATGTCTTTAAACTTGAGAAAAAAAAATATATATAGTACGTATACAAAGTTACGTCATTCTATAATTTTGTACAATAATAATAAAATAGGTGTCATTCTTTTAAATTTTAAAATAAATATCTGTAACTTTCACAGATTACTCTTCAAATGACGATTGAAACGGTGAGCGATATGGAAAAAATCTTAATCAAATTTAATTTGAAAAATATTGAGCCCAACAAATTCAATAATTTTAAAAAATCACAAATTTGACTTTTTAGGCCATACTTTATAGATATAGAAACTATAGTTGTAAATGTGATATTGAAACTTTCTGAGAGCACTTTTTAAAACTTAAAATCTCTACTTTAAGATGGTGCATTTTGTTTTTCTTAAAAAATTGAAATAATAGTTGAAAAAACAAAAAATAACAAAAAATTAAAATATTTCATGAAAAATCCGTGAAATTTATTTGTCAAAGTTTAATAATGTGCAAAAAAATTTTTTTTTTGTTTAATAAACCATCAAAGAATTAAGTTAAGACCTTAAAGAAAGTAAATTCGAGTCAGTCGAATTTATTTGGAAGTTATTCATATTCAAGATTTTGTTGGGATTCACAATTTCAATTTTTTTTGCGATATTTCGCGATTTTTGCAAAATTTTTGGGTATTGAGGCTCAGCAGACTTTAAATTTAAATTCGATCACTTTTTTTATTTTGTGTGCCGCCGCGCCGGGGTAATTTACTGCAAACAATGCTACGTCATTGAAGTCACTGACTTGATAATAATCGTACAAAATTAAAATACGTATTTCTCAATATAGACTTACCTAATATTCGTCATTTGTGTATTGCGATCCATTTTTTAAACGTGGTGTTGTTAGTGGTTATGTGTACTAAGAGCTGTTTGTCTTCTTCTACATAAAATTTCCCATGTACGATTTGGCAATCTCGCATTTCTTTGGTGTGGCGGTATAAATGATTACGCGGACAACAGACCTCAATACATATGTATAAAGGATTACTAAAAAAAATAAATAAAATAAAATAATAATATCATCGTAAATATTTGTAATTTTGAAAAATAACTTTTAGACCAAGAATTATACTTACACAGTCGAAATATGTCCACGCATTTAAGATCCACTCTGTGTATTACAAACACGTAAATAAATAAATCAAACAGCAGCACAATCTAGTCGCATAAGATTTAAAACAGTACTATTTGACATCATTTAAATATACACGGAAATACACAAACAATTAAGTCAGGATCATTTTTTACAAATTTCGTTGCATCTCAACACAGACAGCAACCATTTCAGTACTTGCTCCTTAAGTTGGTAGAGGTAATATTTACAAAAACACCTATTACAATGATTATCCACCGAGATATGATTACACCTAACGGTTATTTTATAAAAACGTGTTCTCCACGTCGGGTCAGATGACGTGAGAGTCGGTCGGGTTGTTCCGAAACGAATTTAGTCGGATTTGGGAGGTGACCACGCTGTTCTGCTTCCTGGACGATTGATATGCTATGCTGTATGCGTTGTTGTTCCTTCTGGCTGGACAGAATATGCCCGCCAGGGCCAGGTACATCCGATGGGTGCTATCCTGAAACAGAACGGATAATTCGTCTGATTAAACTGAAGGCGAAATTAAATTTACCCGAAGTTAAAATTAAGTAAATTTCAGCAGCGTAATTGACGCTGACTTGATTTGCCACAAAGACAAATAAATCAATATGGGAGGTTAAGATATGTTATGCTGACATTTTGTTTCAGTTCCACGAACGAACAAGAGCTTATTACAATTAAATTGACGGAAGTTTTAAAAACATAGAGTAGGCATGGAAACAGAACGACAGATTTAACGAAATGGCGATAATATCGTGCGAGACCAAACGCAGAAACAGTGTTCAGACGTTTCGGTATTGTGTTGTCTCCTGCAGCGCACTTGATAACTCATTGTACTAATTAGATGAAACGGCGGAAACTCCATATATAATTCATCTGGAATTATTCAACTGAGGGAAAGTTAATTATGATTTATACTTCAGTTGAACGACGTGGTGAACGAATTTTCGGAAATGTTACTTAATTCGAAGGTGTTTCTTGCTTAACCGTCCTGAAATTTCAGTTCCTTGCACTTCAGGAAAATATATTTAACGGTTAACGTTAAATGTTTTTGTCGGTATAATCTATTAACAAGATGGAAATAATTATTTATCTTTCGTTGTCAATTCATGCAGACGAGAAGCTTAAGAATAAGATTCATCGATCTTTGATAAATACTTTAATTTATTTTAAAATGAACAGAACATCCTGTGGTGAGCGCAAAAGTTAAGTGAATTTCCATGTTTGCTTATTATAAACAATATTCCCTAGTAGCTCAAGCATATAATTTAATTAGCAGACATACCTTATAATTTTGATATGTGGGAAAATAGAGTTTAATAAAAATTAATCAGCGAAAAGTTTCATAGCGTTAATTTATAAAATATAAAATTGCACGGCATTTCTGACTTGTTTTGAGGATTATATATTTTTTAAAATAAACGTATGGGTTAATATCGAATTCTAAGGAACTGAAAGGCGAGGGATTTTGTACGGAAAATCCGATTTTCTAAGTGCATGGGCGGAGGAAATCTCGTTTGTTTGTTCACATAAAGCTTTATTTTTTATTCTAAACTTCGTCAGCCTTTAGTTACTGATTAAAGAAAACATTTTTCTTTTTGTATGCCCGCGTCGAAGACCAACAATAAACACGTTTTTCGCTAACAAGGAAATCTCGTAAACAAAAGTTTATTTGTTCGAACACGATCTTAATTTTTTTCTTAGCAATTTACTCGAGTTCCACTTTGACAAATTTCAATATTGTTGGCCCTTAAAAATTCCTCTTGTCAACTTCTTTAGGACGATTTTTTTTATATACTTTTTTTTATGAAATGAAGATTAAAAAAAAAACTTATATGCGCAATATAATATGATATGTTTTTAAGGCAATGGGCGCAATCAGCAAAGGGTCTTCTTACCTTAATCTCCTTCATCCGAATGGTGTATATGATGGGATTAGCTAACATCTTCATAATAACTAACATATTATCTATTAGGCGAAGCGTCATCACTTCGTATTTATATTCTTGGTTAAGCGTATTGAGAGTTTCCCCATTTATAGGACAGTCGTTTCTACACATCAAAATGAAAAACAAAAGCGCCGGCATCCACCCAATGAAGCACGATCCCAGAATCAGCAGCGTCGTCTTGATGGCCTTTATGTTCCCCTGGAGCCTAATCTGTTCCCTGTTGGCCTTCTGGCTGCTCGATCTGCCGTTGACGTTGCGCCCTTTATTCCTCGAACTGCCCAGCCTGGACAAGTTCTTCCATTTCTGCTGTTGGTTCCTGACGGTAATCAGGATGTGAGTGTAACAGAACACCATCAGCACGATGGGACAGAAGAACAGGGTGCCGTAGCTCATCCTCGCGAGGAACGTGGTGAATATCTGCCCCGAGCTCGTGTTGTTCTGGATGTTCTCGAAAAGGGCACCTTTGCTCTCTATCGTGCAGAGTATCACCAGCAGGACAACCGGGCAGATCCACAACAAAGCGATCACCGTGGACACCTTGCGTTTCGTAACTATAGAGTTGTAATGCAAGGGCTTCATAATGCCTATGTAGTGGTTGAGACTTAGCGCTAGTAAGTGGAGGACGGTGATGACTATCCCGCTAAGCCTAATCAGTTCTATGAGGCACGGGATTACCCCCAGGTGTTCTGAAATCTGAATCTCGTCGAGGAAGAGCATTAGTCCAGTCATGCTGGAACTTACGGCGTCGGCTATCGCGAGGCTCAGGCTGATTTTCAAGTTGGGCGTCATCGGACTGCGGATCCAGTAGACGCTGACGATGACTACGCAGTTGACGCACATTGCGAGCAGGCAGCATACCAGCAGGAGGGATATGCACAGGTGGACGATGTTCTCGTGGAGGACGTCGCCGGTAGAGTTGTCGAGGTTGAGGGTCGCGTTGAACGCGTCGTCCGTAGCGTTCAGGAAATATTCCTCCATGTCTCGGTGTTCTGAAACAAAGAGGGACTTCAAAATATATTTGCGATGATTAATGTAATCAAATAATTATTAATTAAAGTTGAATATTAAAAAGAGGTAAATACAGTTGCTATATATGTTTTTATGTGAGATATTTAAAACTCCAGCAAATGAATTATAAGCCCCTTGCAAACTAAATATGTATATTGCAGAAACTTACAGTATAGCGTTAATAACTAAACATGAGTACATAGTCACTTCAAAACGCATTTAAACTGTGCAGGTATTTGCAGTTTTAATAACTACAATATAAGGTAATCCATTCAAGTATTTGTTTGAAAATTTTAAAAGGGGAACTCTGAACAACTATACAACAAGCGGATGAACAAAACTGGACGGGAAAACCCAAAGTTGCGGGGATAAATTTCTCCATTTTAAAGATTTAACTCTCACATAAAACAGACAAGTAATTTGAAATGTAATTACTTTTGTATCAGTTTTTTTATTCACTGTTTTAAGGTAATCTATTTCATATCAGAATATTTTAAAAAGCTATCACAACTAAATGTACAAATATAAAAGCTACGATACATTTTGTATAAATATTTTAAGAATGAATAATTGAAAGCTGTATAAGCTTTATTTTCCTTTAAATTTTCTTTTGGGATTCTTTATAATGACACCTATGTTTTGTTTGTAAGCAATGCTAAAGTTTAAGCATATTATCCCCTTGTTTTTCTTACATTTCTCTTTTACTTTCAGGAATTTAAATGAAAGCTTCTTGGAAGGAATTCAATTTATGCCTGAATTTAAGGACCCCTATCATAAAAGGTACGTAGAATCTTATAAAACTCCGCAACAAATTTTCTGAAAAACAACCCGTTGAATGTTTTCATGCTCTGTAGATAACTGGGCTAATATTTACCAAGTATGTAGAACATCCACTTTTGATTACTTTAACTTTGGCTTAATTGTTCCCTTAAACGGGCGTTCTATGGATACCCATCCGTTAAAGATTAAATGTTAGACTTGATTGTTAAACTATGTGGGTATATGTAAATTTTCTAGGCGTTGTGGTTAAGCCACTGCCAGAGGCATGTACCTGTTTGATGAGGGTGGTAAGAGAATAGCAAAATTTGAAATTGATACTGACTTTAATAGCTCTAGATGCTGTAACTGTAGATGAAAACAGTACAGGACCAATCCGTAATTTATCATTGTCTAGCGTGCATGATTAATCCATCAAAGGAACTGACACAATCATGACGTTTCGAAAGGAGGGAGGTCCATTTTTTACAGGAGACTAATTTACAAACTCAAGTCCTAATGCACACATAACGCAGATCTATCGAATCGCCTTACGACATTTTTATATCATATATCCCGGGCTTTGGATAGTTTTATTATTTCGAATAAAATATACCTAATAAACCGTCTCTGTGCTTTTCTAACCGGTATTACTTCTAAACTAAGTGGTAGGAAGCTTATTAAAGATATATGTTTTAGTACATACATTATACAAAGTTCGAGAAAACTTCTTAAAGCAAGTAAATCAAACTTAGACTGTTGTGAAGTTGTTAAACATACCCTTCCCTTAGGACTTTGCAGTCGAAATTAAGTTGTTTGTACAAGAATAATGAAAACTAGAGAGAGTTCATATAAATCAACGGAATTAAACTTAAACACGATTCAAGCATTATCGCAGCTTTATGTTTTCGTATAGTGTTCAATGAAAATTGTTATGGGCATCAGGGACCACCAAAGACTGTCTTGTGAAGATTGACACTGTAATTAAATTTCGCGATGAAATAATTTACATTTCCTGTAATCTTTGGAAGATTATAATAAATACTAATAAATTAATTAGTACATATTACTAAAATAAGTTATTTTCAATGTGACAGTCAAAGGGGCTGTAAGGGTATTTTATGCAACGCACTTTTATTCCTGTTTAGAAGACTATGTAGAATGTAATAAAAATAATCAAACAACCCACGGTATTGATTTAGGAGGATACTGTCTGTGCTCGGGAACTAATTCTGTTTGGAGTCCATTATCAGGGAAATGGTGAAACGATACATTTAAAGGAATGACGATGGCTTTGAAAGATATCAGGTATTTTCTTTGGCAACAGTGAATGGTTTCTTTTTCTGTTGGGGCAATAGCTGTGTTGTCATTAATCAACTAAACATATTTATTCAATTCGTATACAAAGATGTAACCAACTCAGGTTCGTGGTTCATTAACTCTGTTCTTTGGCATGTATCAGTTGAACAAATAAGAAAATAAGTCTCCTACTTCCATTTGGAAATAGAACTGTTATGTGGAAATGTTACGTGAGCGAAATTGGTAAAACGCAGGGAATATATTTTATTTACTGTTATTATCCCTAAAGTTATGTAATTACAATATTGAAGAGATGCTCCCCAAAGCGTAGGTGCGATTTAAGAATATTTTTTGTTGAGAATGTGTGAACCTGCATCAAGTTTCATTTTAAGCTTATATTTTATTATCCATATATACATACTCGTATATAAATAAATATTACGTTACCACAAAAATATAACATCCAGAAAGAAGAGATAATTGATTAAGTTCTAGATTTAACGAAAATTTCTCCATTCCAAGATATTAAAACACCCTTTGATCTTTCAATTTATATTTACATATATAAATATTTTCTGGGTTTCACTTTAAACAGTCCAGATCCGCATTCATCAAATATTTAAAGTGACTAAACGGAGATTCGGAGTATCGTGATGCTCGTTTTAAATATATATATCGTAATTCTGGCGAAATTTCCGTACTTTTGTAATAACTAGTACTTGGTAAAACTACTTTTTATGGTATTTAAAAACAAAAATTTATAAACTAAAGGGTTTACCCTTTACGCTGCAACATGCAATCAGTAAATAGCGAAGTTTGTTTGTCTGCTTTGCAATTGTACGGAAATGACATAAATGTCCAGTTCGCCGTAACGATTTAACTTCAAATTAAGTTTGTTTTGAACACGGTTTGGTTACTATCCGAACAGTGTTGATTATCGCCAAATAGACGGACCGGTATAAACTATAGGACACAAAGGACATGCCCCAATAATCTGTTCCTATTAATTCTAATAGTTACAGAGCCGTACACGTCAACCATTTCATTTTTATTGGTAGCTTTAAAATTCGCAGTTTTGCTTCGCTCTACCACCCCAAATGTTTTAAACATTAACAGATGAATAAATGTTGGAAATGAAAACATTGCTTGGGCTGTTAAGACTACATTGATGTTAGTTACACATATTTGTTACTGAAATAAATAATAAAACTACGTACAGTTATGTTTTCTTCATCACTGTGTATGTATACAGTGAAAAAAATGCGTTGTTGCAATAAAATCATCGATTTATTTAGGCTTTGTTCACTATATTGCGGTTAACCTTTTTTTTTAAGTCGAGTCCTAAACTACCCAGCATTCTATCTTGTAAAACAATTTCGTCTCGGTTTCTCTAGTTCAACAAAAATTAGGGGTTAGCAGTGTTCGTTCTTCCAATACGGGTAGAAGCTGCTCGGTAAGCACTCCTAATTCTAAATAAGTTTTTTTTTACATCGAAACCTTAACGTTTATGCTGTTAAGTCGAAAGTTAGGTTGAGTTACATACAGCGTGTCCCCTGATGTATGAAGCGTAAGTGCCATATCTATATGTCGATAGTAAAGTGTACTTCTATATACGATATATATAAATGTTATTAAGATACATTACAATAATCCCAAAATATAAAAAAAAAAACGACAGAATATATCAAATTCTCATCAAACGAAACAATACAAATTGTATATGCTCTTTGGTAACCAATGTTTAACGAAATAATGAATAAATATAAGAAAATTTTTAGAATTAAATCAATTTGATTTTTAATTGGGTTTGCTTCGATTGCAGGCCCATGACGCTGGGCGAAATCGGCTGTTTCATGAGCCACTTCAATATTTGGAAGGAGGCAAGTAAACGTCCCGTAATTGCTTACGCAAACTCTAATTACTTTATTTACTACCACGCAGATAGTCGCTAATGGCTACGAGAACACCCTCGTCCTGGAGGATGACATCCGTTTCGAGCCCTTCTTCAGGCTGAAGGTTGCGAAGTTGATGGAGGAATTAAGGGGGATGCCGGAGTGGGACTTGGTGTAAGTTAAATCTACTTTAAATTTCCTAATGTGTTAAAATATGCCACGGAATTTTATTACTACTTTCAGACCTGTTATGTTGAATTCGATGTTAAGCCATATTTCTGGATAAACGCAGACGGCACAAACTTTCTCGAATAGATCGAGGGAAACTGACAGACAAGTCTTTTAATAGTTCTATTTACCTTAGGTGAGGCTGTGTGCGTTTACCTACGTGTACTATTTTGATTTCGTTCTTGGAATAACCGTGCTCTAGACACCTGGGTAACTGAAATGAATCGAGTCGTTATTATTTTGATGTTAAAATTACCTAAATGTTTCTATAATACATAATTGTATTGTTAAATTCCACATATGTTCCTAACATCTAGCATTCCACAAGCAAAATTGTCGTTGTTTAACACAAAAGTATTTTAAATATTCTTAATACCTGCTCTTTAGCCTTTAAATAAAACAATAAGCTTCGAATTATAATTTGGAAATAGAAGATCCTTTAAAACTTCTACGCCACTGGATTTTTTACTTGAAAAAACTGCCCAGAAGCCTTTCCATATAAGCCAAAAATTTGCTTAACTAGTAGATACTTTTCCAACCGGATATAAAACAATCCTTTTAAATTGACCGGGACCGACCTATATAGCTCTATACTTCTAACATCGATGGTGTTGGTAGCTTTTAACTTTTAGTGCAGAGGCTTGTACTTTTATTGTCAGCATAGGCGACCCAACCCCATGATACGTGCTTAAAAAAATCCATTTCCCGAAACGGAAATTAAAATTCGTTTGCTTTTACCCGTGGCATTGGCAGGGTATGAGAAATTACGAGTATATACTGTAAAATTGACAGCTTCCTTTGTGTTTGGGAACATATTTATTTGAATTTTGTATCTACTGAAGTATGTTTTGCACGTTAAAAGCACAAAACGTCTAAATAAATGGGAAAATATATTTTTTTTATTCTTCGAGTGCAAAAAATATCAAACAGGAGAAGCAGGGTCTAATACGAATATAAAGTTTTTCATGGTTGTTTCGGGAATATGATACAATCACAGCTGAAAGTAAATGGAACTGTTAAATAGTGTGAACTTTGTGAAAAAAAAAACAGTATTGTATTAGGTTGCAATAAAACGGAGTTCAGTTTAGAAACCAATTTATAATTTAACTACAACAGAATTTAAAAAAATGTGTTTGACAGTCTGTAATTCAAAAACTTTACCAAACAAAGACAAAAGGAAATATAATTTAAACTGCTCCTAATAATTATTTCTAATATTATTCTGTGGTGCTCATACAAAATCGTCAAAGCGGATGTAATATTTCACTTTCGCTCCTTCTTCCTAGCGGCAAAAAAAATCGTTCCATTAAATTGTACCTGTCCAACCGCGACAGGAAACATATTTTATTGGAAGCAGCTGCCTCTGCATATTATAAAGCGAACGGAAGGGCGGGAAGGACACGAAAGGGACAGTTTCGGTTGTTTCTCGAAGGAGAAATGTCCTTGCGTTCCTATGAAGCGAAGGAGGTGTCGAAAGCATAGGGAGGAAATCACACCTGCACCGTAAAAAATAAATCTACGCGGAATAAAAATATAATTTAGCCAGATATACGAGTGATTTAGACCGTGCGGGACGCGACGTGAAATTTACGACTCTTTTGGCATTTCGCTCGTTTTTCACTCGTCTTGAAATCAAAATCTACAACACGTTGCAGATAATTTCTAAGAAATTACAAATAAAATAAAATACACGATGCAACTGTAAATCAGATGCAAGCTAAGTAGGAGCGATTATTGTTTGTTATAATTTAGTTGATGAAAATATGCGACAAAAAAGTCAGAACAATAAAAGATATTCATTTGACCATCTTGGTAACATTAAGATAAACCGTTGGCAGGAAGAGGACTCCCCGACTGACTTTCTCAAAAATACTTTCGCTATTTAAAACCTTGTTGACGTGTCCAGCGTATTATTACGTCGTGGCCAAAGGGAGATGAAAAATGAACGGAATATGAAGCAGGCCATGAATTTCATATCACGATGCCTACGTGATATGAAACACATCACTTGGCCTAATATGTGGTTATAAATTATCTTACTGCGAATATGGCCAGATTCCTGGTTTAAACAGAACACTAGATTTTTCAATTAAATTAAAACAAAATACGTTGAAGGTTTATTTGCACCGGATGTAATAATAAGGTTTCAACATTTTTAATTTGGTTTGTTTCACATCGGAATGTCTATTTGTGAAATATGACGTTTAAATTCAATAATGTCTGCACGTGAACGATCGAAGAGCCTTGTTCAAGTAGATGCCGAAGGAGGTAGAAGCTAATTGATTTTATTTCTTTTAGTCTTTCGCTAAATATATATATTATGTATACAATCGTTTCAAAATAGTCCAATTCAATAAGCCTTTAAATCGAAATTTTGGTCAACTTGCCTGAATTTTTAATATGAGTTAGTTTGAGGAATGTTATAACAATAAGTGGCAGTAGTTTTCTGTTGAATCTCCGGCCAAGGGTGAAAATAGATAAAACAAAGATAACTCAAAACAGGTAAGGGCTAGAAAAAAAAGTTTCGTATAAAAGTTGTTAAACATACAATTCTACATAAAAATGGCATCTTGACTTTTTCTTGTACTATTAAAATTAACAGAGTCAGGGAGGCTAGAAGTTAAGGGAAGATTTCAGAAATTTAAAAAAATCATAAGCAGAAAAATGAGTGAATTTTGTAATTTTTTTTTCGATCTACTCTAAAAAATGTAACTTTTCTTTTCAGAGAAATAGATATATTTTTTAATTTTTAATAAGAAAGTTACTTATAACAATTTCAAATTTGTTGTTCACCCCCCTAAAAAGAGATTTTAACGAAAACCTCGAAACAGGTCAATTTAATTTTATCAATTTGTTTACGTAAATCATATATTTAATTCTTTTGAGTAAATGATTTTTTTATAAATAAAAAATAAGGGTAGTAACCCCCAAACACGGAATTACTTGCGAAATATTTGTTTTTTATCATATCATAAGTAATTTCCATTTTGTTTCATTTCCAAATATTGATTAAAACCCCAGAAATTTAGAAAAAACTGTTTGGGGGGCGAACTTTGAGGGTGTATTTCACACCGTAAATATGTTTTTCCGCCGCTAAAAAGAATACGTGTCTCTTTACATTTTTTAGAGTAGATTGAAAAAAAATACAAAATTCATTCGTTTTTCTGCTTGTTATGATTTTTTTAAATTTCTGAAATCTTCCCTTAACTTCTAACCTCCATAACTCTGTTAATTTTAATAGTACAAGAAAAAGTCAAGATGCCATTTTTATGTAGAATTGATTCATATTTTGTGTGCAAACAGTTCTGTTATAGAATTCTACCTGCTATTAATAAACGGTTTCAACAGCCACGGCGAAGTCTAAAAAAAATATTTATCATAGCTATCTTGACAACTTGCCCTACATATTTCAAAATGTCGCTCGACTGATAAATTGCGTTTTTCTTTCAGGGTGGCATAATTCCGTATCTATTAAGCCAGTGTTTTTTATACCTACCTAATGTTTTTTAGAACATAAGCTAAGTACATCGACCCGCTGAACAGAGTAAATCTGCAAACTTGCAACAAGTTGGTAGATTTTGTTAGTTAAGTTTGCCGACGAGACATGGGATAATAGTTTTTAACTTATTGGGACTACGTATTTGGGAAAGTTACACAAAGTTTGAATTCTCAAACCTCAAGTCGACCTCAAAGTCTGCGGGAGCTCGATATAGCGTCTAAAATATGTGTAAATTACACGGATTCGGCCTCTGTGGCCTAAATGAACTTGATGCGCACGGTCATCAATTGAATTTGCTGAAATTTAATATTAAAAGTTTTTTTGTCTGAAATAATCTTTCAGACCGCTTTACTATAATCCATAACATGATTGTTATTTAAATTTAAATTTAAATATGTCTCCTTGAAAGATTTACTTTATTTTTAGACTTTTTATGACCTCTCTTTTGCAAATGGAAAACTATTTGTAGATCGACGATGACGGGGCGCTTCTTAATTTCAGATATCTGGGGCGAAAGCGACTCCAGGAGAACGACGAGCCCTGGGTCGAGGGATCCGATCAGTTAGTGAAGGTCGGCTATTCTTATTGGACCTTAGGCTACGTGCTCAGCTCGAGTGGGGCAAGAAAACTGTTAGACGCCGATCCGCTGTCGCGGTTGGTGCCGGTCGATGAGTATTTGCCCATTTTATTCGACAAGCATCCTCAGGACAGCTGGAAGAAACACTTCTCTCGACGGGACCTGGTGGCTTTCTCGGCGGCCCCTTTGCTGCTCTATCCCACGCATTATACCGGCGACAAGGGGTATATCAGCGACACCGAGGATTCGGTTATCATCCCAGAAGTTCTGAGTAGCGCCAGAGACGATCTTTAACAACACTCGAGGTGTTTTATGGTACGTAATTTTTTTTCTCTGTGGCAAATAACGTCGAGCTGGAAGTTGTGGAACGTTAATACATTTTTCATGAAGTGTGTGCAATGTTCTTTGTCAAATCCCTTATGTTTTATAAAATATTCTCCAATTTTAGTAAAAATAACTTCAAATACTGATATTTGGTAAACAATATATTGGATCTAGTACGTTATAATATTCGATGTACACTATAAAAACCTTACCACAAAGAAATGTTGACTTAACATTTTATGTGGCAGAAGATCAAATATGACAACACTAGTGTTTTTATCACCTTCAAAAGCTTTCCTGTGCCAAATTTCAGTACAATATATTGTTTTTTGCAGGCCATATAGTTAAAATTTGATTTAAAAATATCATATTTGATGTACCCTACCTCATAAACAAAACACCCATTGTCCATACGAAAAAAACTTATTTTTTGATGTTGTAGCTATCGGATTTATCGTTCGATTTTTATAAATACCCTGTATTTTACGAGTTGACTAAAGCGTTGTTGTTTATTAGAAAATAAAAAAAATTAAAACAATCAATAAAACACAGAGATGTGTTTGCCCGTCGACTTTAATATGTATTTTTTTTTTAATTTTAAAACTACCTAACGTGAAAAACTTTAGGGTGAACATCATCAGCCGAAGTGCAAACTTATCACTTCACCTTTTTTTTCGATCTTCAATTCCATCCATAATCTGTTTGCTGACATGTTTGTTTTCTTTGTTAGCGAATCCTTTGTTCTTTTGATTCCACTGTTGCTAACAGTTTAGATTAACTTAAAACGTGTTTGGAACCATGTGATGAAAAACTAAAAAAATTGCTAATGACGGTTACTTCTCTTTAAGAGTATTGTTCTGCCAATTTCCTACTAATGGAAAAACTAATTAGTTTAATTAAACACAATTTCTTTTTAAACTTTGTACATTTCATACATTAATTCTTACACTCGAGCATTCATTTGTTTATTAGCATTCATCTACATCTTAAACGAACTTATTCAAAGGAAAACTTGAGCTGTAATGTCAACCTTAATCTATTTCCGGTACATTGCGAAGTTTTATCTCCCGTTTAAAATCATTTCATGGGTCGTCGAACTGAAAGGTAGTTATTTCATGATAGCAACTAAAATATTTGCTTCTCGTCCATAACTTTAGGCATTTATTAGAAACCGTTATTTAATTAATATTCGTTTAGGGAAACTTTAATCTCCATAAAAACATGTTTTATCATCAAGGAGTGTTTGTAGGAAATTTTTATTTTACTGCGACATTTTAAGTTTCTACGTGAGGTGGATTTTAATTTAGAATAAATGATTGTTCATATTTTCCTCACCATTATTAAATTTTTCTACATCGAATTTTCATTCCATCCTTGTTACAAATTTGTTACAAGGAACATGGAATGGTGATAGAAAGAATAATAATTATTCATAATGTAGTAAATGTTATTGTGAACCCTCTTGTGTTTTTTGTATTTCAAAAAGATCTTTTTATCTGTGGGCGCAGAAAAAGTACAAAATTCCATGCTGTAGAAATTGTAGACCAATGATGACTTTACATTACACCGTTTTTAAAATGCGATGATGCAAAGAAATTGTCTTTATTAAAAATTGGTTTCGTGATTTCGATTCATTAATCTTTTTTATGGCAAACGAATTATGAAGCAATATTATTATATTTTAACAAAAATTAGATGTTTTTTCGGAATTTTTTAAGGTCCATATTTGATATTACAACTCTCCAAGAAAACAAGTTTTCAAACGATACATGAAACTATTTTTAGCTATTCTAAGAAGCTCTTTCGATCTCTGGACATTTTGAAATGAGGAATTGAAGATATTTATATAGAAATTACTGGAAAATTTCAGACAGAAGGAATATTTTCCTTGCGGGTTCTAATAATAATTCGTGTATACGAAACATTCCGTAATGTAAGTGAGAGACAAAGAAAAATTTTAGTAATAAAAGCGGCGAGGTGACGGAGCCCCGGAATTTAAGACGATAAATATCCAGGGATATGCCTGCTACAAAATCAGTGGAATATAATCTCTAAAAAATAATGAAAAGATCTGAGTTATGGCGTGGATTATGCTATGAACAGTGACAAGATTAGACGTATCTTATACACATCTCAATGCAGACTGTCTCAAAATATAGTGTAGGAAAACAGGCAGAGAAAGAAAACAGGGAATGTCTTTTTAATACTATTGTAACCACGATACAAGGGGTTTACAATATTTCGTTGCTTTTCTAAGTTATAATTAAGGTAAAGAAAATAATAGAGGCACACCGCGTAATTTCCAAAACCGAAATATTTTCCACGTTTAATGATACCTCTCCCTTTATTAATGTCCGAGTATCATGAAACACGCGAGGCGGAGTTAAAAAAAAAATCTGATTAGAGCACAATCTGTTCAATACGGAATATCCATTCTGTTAGAAAAGGAAATACAGAGGTATAAAACCGGAATGGAAGCATTTCGTTGTGTCACTATTGTGATTGAGTTAGTTTTTAATTTGGGCAGGCGTGCATTGCTGTTAGCCTTTCCATTAAGCATCCAATCTACCGAAACTCTTTTTAATGAGGATTTTCCGTTGCCGAAAAAAATGCTGTTCACCTCAAATTGCTAGCAACTATAATAATTACAATAACTATGCAGGCAAATGATATCCAGTCGTTTATAGTAGTTTAATTAATTTGTTATTAACATTTTAGTGCAAAAAGACGCGTTTTTTAAATTTTTTGCTTAGAAAACCAAAACTACTAGAGCAATCTCAAATGGAAAAGTTGTAGGAAATTAAATTTCGAAGAATATGAGCGATTCGATCGGTTCAAGTGCATGTTTCATCCATTTCGCTGCATTTTAACGAAAACTTGAAATATACGTTTTATAGTATTTTACTTCTAGTTTTGAAAACCGATATTAGAATTAAAATCGGACCATTTTTAAGGCAAGCAGACTCCTATCAAAAAATGCATAACAAATCTGAAATAGCAATTGCGCAAAAACTAATGGTCCGACAGCGCCTGCCTTTTGCACACTTAAAGCTGATATAATTTTCTACTTCTGTGCCAAATTTCAGCTCTTAATCTTCATAAATGACATAAAGTTATGAATTTTTGAAAGAAATGCCGAATTTTCCGGATTTTCTCCAGTTCTAATCAACCGATCGAACCGCTGGACCTCTCATTCTCATTCGAAATTTAATTTCCTACAACTTTTCCATTTACGGAATTGAGATTGCTCTACTAGTTTCGGTTTTATAAGCAAAAAACTACAAAAAACGCGATTTTTTGCACTAAAATGTTAATAACAAATTAATTAATGAAAGTTGCGAGTCGAAAACAAATCAGAGTATATCTGATGATGGCACAGGTGATATGCTGTTAGTATTTTTGACACACAAAAAACCTATATTGACTGGCCTATTATACCCCTCATCAAAGCAGAACAGGCAGGCGGACATTGTAGTTGTGTTTTTGGCATCATATTTATTTTACTCGTCATTTAAAATACCGTTATAAATATTACATGAGTTTTTTTTAGAAAGTAGGTTAAGAAGAACGTTATAAAAAAACGAGAAAATGATCCCTGTTTGTTGAGGAGCCAGCAATAAAAATACGGGGCCGGCAATTATTTCCTCACTGAATCTGCCAAATGAGGTAATCAACTTTTTACCGCAAAAAGCTAGGTCGGATCGGTTCCGTTTTTTTGCGACTCGTAAAACAGGCAGGCCGTTATCATTTCTTGATTGAATCCTAGACTAGAGACGGGCTTCGTTAATTTCCCAATTGCAATAATTAATTCTTTTCCTATGGCTTCCCTTTTTGCTGTGAGCTAATATATAGGTATATTTTTTATTCAATCTTAAGACCGCCCTAGACGTTTAACCAAGTTTTTTTTAATAACGTAAGTTGAAGAATGTTATATAGACTTCAGAATTTTAATTTAACTAAATTATCGCGTAATTTTGTTCTCACGTATAAACCTCGTCCCCATCGGTAAAAAAGTGGTGAAATATATTATTAATTGAATGTTCAATTGTGTAGGTATAGTAAAGAATCAGACTCGTCTGTAACTAATCAAAAACAGCCTGATGGGGAATTAATGGGATTAAATTGAAAGTAACGGGCATCAGGTTGACAAATTGTGGATCTTGTTGCGGTGTCCTCTTATAATTCGCCAGAAGAAAACAAACTCCCGCCTATCTTTCACTGTCGCAAGTCGTCTAACATTAATCTTCTTTGTAGCCGAGAAACCTGGTTCCCTGCATTTACTTGAGGTGTAAGAAAAACAGCGTGTAGGTGGTGTCTCCTGTTCGTTTGCGTCTTACTTCCACAGACCTCGCTTTGTTCATAAAAAAATTTCCGTCTAGTTTTAATTTCATATCTTTAAAGTTTAATGATATAATAAATTTTAAATATACATCCTTCATAAATGTTACAAGCCACGTGATCCTAGACCATAGGCAACCGACATTGTACTACTGGAACTGTCAACTAAAAATCACTAAATCCTCGCGTCACTAATAGTAATAATTTGTTTCTAATGAACAGTAACGAACAATTGAGCCTATTTTCGAGATAATGTATCATCAAACGATTTATTTGTTCATAAAAGTGCATACTTTTAATATAATATTCATTGGAATTGTCAGAGGTTACTTATATAGCAAAATATATTATTGTTTTAGGTAACTGATTGCTTTAGAACCTGATTCAATTTATCACATTTGATTTGAAATAACTGCTATACGAAAAATGTAAAAATTATATTGTAACAAATACGTGCTACAACAGCACAAAGTTTAAAATTATGCAGACACAAATCATTTTTATGTAATAAACTTGCTTTTAGAGACCTACGCACGTAATGGGAATGTGAAACTACGCAAAGCGCTTTACTGGACCTATAAATTTCACGAAAGCCACTTTTTTCTGTTTAAATGAGTTTAACAATTATTTATGTTTAATCGTCTGCATTGCCTTACATTCTAGCCATTTCAGAAATCACATTTTCATACATATACTAATCATATTTTAATTCTCGCCAAATGTACACTTATAACATTGCAGGCAAAAGCAGTATTCTGGTTGAGCGTTCAAGGAAATTCGAATTAACAATGTTTAAGGAAACGACAAGCGTTTGCTTTATTAATTGTCAAAGTTTGAACTTCTGTGTAATTTCATAAATGTAATAATTTTCTTTGCACGCAAATTTTCATTAGCAAATGTTTGATATAGTTACAACAAGGCGGAATGTTTTAGTAAACTTTTAATTTAAACGATGTTGTTTTCGACACACCTTAACTTTCAAACTAAATGTTGCTTGCTGCTATTTCTCGTAAAACAGTTGCGGTATAGATCAACAGATCGATAATTCCCTCAATTAATTTGTAGTTGAACAATGTTTTAATTACATTAACAGTTTTCTAATTAAGGTTATTGCAGCCTATTGTAGAGATAAAAGAGAAATTTATCCAACGAAGCAGCGAACTGTTGCTGTAATGCACTCCTGTCGAAGCGCTCGATAAAAGAATAAATTTATTCCGTGCTTTGTAAATTTAAAAAAATACACGGTTCTGTTAATGGCTATATCAGAATTAACGTTGATGACTGTTAGCTGTTGTGTAAATCAGTTTTGACTTAATTAAGTTTCAAAGAGATTGGGCTCATCTGCATTAAAATTCAATTTGTTCAGACTTAGTTCGATATTGCGGTGGTGTCGCTTTTGATTGATTTTAAAAATTTCGACGTCAAAACAAGTGTTGCTGGAACCTTAAAGTGCACATAGAACTTTTCCAGTGACACTTTAATTATTATTAATTGTAAGATGCATTCATTACGTTTATTTGTGTTTTAGGAAATAACGGCCATCAACTCTAGTCTTCTGGTTAATTGCTATCATCCAATCTTGGTACAATCGACCTTGGATGTCTAGTTACTTTGCATAGTGCCATTTAGTTTAATATAATTTGTTTGCTTTAAATTTAAGCGTTGCTATTTGTTTGTGATTACACCGAGGCTTTAGCCATGAATAAAAATTGATTAACCTTGATTTTTTTGTCATGACTGTCAGTTATTAACTTTGTCTTGAAACTTTTACAATTTAAGAATTTAAGAATTGCATGCATATGGTAGTGTACACTAATAAGAAAAACCGCCATTATAATACACATCATCTTGGTCCTATTCCTTGGTCCTATCCTTGGTCCTTGGTTCCTATTGGTCGATTTCCCTCAGTGTAGGTTTTGCCATTGTTTTTTATATTCGTTCAAGTACAAGAAGTGCCTTATATTTATAGATCTATGTGCAAGAGCAGTTGCTGATAATTCTAGATGTAATGTTTGATGTATAAAACTATAGTTGTATTTCTCTTTTTTAACTTTTTTTAATAACATAGTAAACTTTCAAGATTTGTCTTTAATTCCTCCCCCCTAACATGATCCCAAATAACGTTCGACCAATCTAGGGGATAATTATTCTAAATTTACACCAGATGTAATCTATGTAAAAAAACTAACTTCATCTAACATAACCTTACATAAAAATCTATCTATCTGCATAGTCAGGTAAGTTTTTATTCTGTTAAAAATGAAAAAATTACCTGACCTAGGTACTCTTGATTTTATGTAGAAATTATTTGTGTGGAGTAATACTAGGTAAATATTTTTTCCCCGAAAACTATATTCGACCGCACAAAAACTAACTTCCCTCTGAAATAGCGAAGGTAGGAGAAATTTTGTGGAGTTTTGACCAATTTCTACAAATAATTACCCAACTTTCTATGTGCGACAGGTTTTCAAAAACTTGCAGAGTTACGTAACGTCGAGAAAATGTTATAGGAACTTGCTAATGAATAAAATTCATATAATAGTTTTTCACATTATTTTTTTATGTCGCGCTAAATAATGACAGACCAATTTACTATTCGCTCTAGGTATCAGTTACAGAATTCCCACAATCAGCCGCAAAAATATAAAGTTCAGACTTGGTTATTTGATTTGAGAGTGGTACATTTTTTGCTAATACTATCAGGGCTTCGTCTGCAAAGTTTTACTCTTTTAAAAAACCCGAATCCCTACTTAGAGCTAGTTCTAGTAGATTATCGACATTTCTTGACGCCCTTACTACATACACCAGGAAAATTAGCGAAAATAAAAGAGAAACTCGAAAAAAGTCCTATCCGCGAGATTGTTGTAAAATTGTCTAAAGGAACATAATACAGGACATCTCCCATCTCGTGGGTCAATAACTTGTATTAGCTAACTTTTCTATTTAAACAAATAAGTGAGGAAAACAGCTTTTTCACGAATGTATGAATCATTACTATGGAAAATATGTACTTTACAGCACTACACTTTCTCTAAACTGACAGATAAATAGGTCTTTTTTAAATATGCTACAATTTATTTTTTATTGTTTTAGATAATTCTTCAAAATATGCCAATAATATTATTACTGGCATCCAGCCGTCTGCCAATATATTCAATATAATTATTGTTTATATCACAAGAGGCACAACGTTACGTATATAAGCCAGGTTATCGAAACCAAATAAAAGTGGTCTCGTGGCTCAAAGCGTTACGCGTTGTCCTACTAATCTAAAGGTTCGGGGTTCGATCCCTGATGAGGTATGGTTTTTTTTCAATTAATATAATATTTCGAATGCAATTTTCCATCGTTCACATTTCAAGACAAATATTTCTGCACCAGTTGCTGGTCGCGAAGTTAATAATTTCTCACAGTGTTGCCAAATATCTGTTGATTCGAGGCGCGCTAGATCGCTTGTTAAATTCTGCCAGAAAATCGTGAAATATAAAATACAGATAAGTAGGTATAGACCAAGCAAATTAAATTTTTACTCGAAAAAAGTCCTATCCGCTAGATTATTGTAAAATTGTCTAAAGGAACGTAATACAAGATATATCTCGTCTCGTGGGTCAATAACTTGTATTAGCTAACTTTTCTATTTAAACAAATAAGTGAAGAAAACAGCTTTTTTCTTCAAGCGTATAATAATACTTATATTATATAGCGCAACACCTCCTTTAGAAGCAGCATATTGTTTAACTAGTACAAATATTTTTAATTTTTTAACTAGTAAAAAAATGTAACAATGTGTAGGTAAGTATCCTAGCAACGAATTAAAGATTCAAGAAGCTTTGACGTTTCATTAAGTGTCAGTTGAAATTTGATGTCGCGTCGGGTCGTTTTTAAAATGTCTGAAGAAATGCAGTGCACACCACCAGAATTACTGGAAATTGCAAATACATCAGTGGCNTCCTCACTTATTTGTTTAAATAGAAAAGTTAGCTAATAAAAGTTTTTGACTCGCGAGATGAGAGATGTCTTGTATTATGTTCCTTTAGACGACAATTTTACAATAATCTCGCGGATAGGACTTTTTTCGAGTAAAAATTTAATTTGCTTGGTCTAAAAACCGCCATTCAGGCTAGTGACATGGGCGGATGTGAAAATATGAATAGTTATTAGGCCCAGCAGCGATTTGCTTTGTTACAAGGGCCCCAATACACGATCGGTTTTGTCGTTGATGCGTGCGGTATCTCTATACATCATTAGCTGCTTTGAATTCTCGGATGTATTCCGATGTCCTCGTTCACGTTTTCAGAAATGTGTGCTTTAATATTACCCATAATCTCAATACAATCACAAGACAGTTATCACAAAAATTAACTGCAAAAAAATTGAGATCATAGCATCTATCTTATCCTTTTATCACCAGCTATCTTTGGTTATTTATCGCCTTACGAAAGAGACCGGTTCCTAAAAATGTAACGACTATAATTCAATTTTACAGCGGAGATAAGAAACACGAAGGATACAAAACAACTCCCCCATTAATCATTGCCTCCAAATGGATTAAACTGGGCAAATAGAATAGCGAATATCCTGAAAATGCATTAGTTTAATATTAGCTGGCGGCCGTGGCAAGAGAGGATATTAAATCTTATACAACCTACATCGTTCCCTGATTCCGTAGTAAAATGATTTCTGTACCTCGATTATCCCTTAACTTCTAGCCTCCTTAACTCTGTTAATTTTAATAGTAGAAGAAAAAATCAATAGATCGTTTATGTAAAATTGTATGCTCTTTTATACGGAACTTTTTTTTCCAGCTCTTACCCCTTTTGAGTTATCTTGAAAAAACGCTTTATTCTATTTTGTTCATTGCCGACCGGGGGTTGAAAATCAAATTACTGTAACTTATTGTTATAATATGCCTCAAACTAACTTATATCAAAAGTTCAAGTAAGTTGACCACTATTGTGATTTAAAAACCCTTTAAATTGGACCACCACTTTGAACAACCTTTTTAAGAATCAAATTGTCAACTTTTGGTTAGTAATACACTTGAAACAATACCTACGTTGAATACACTAAATGGCAACAGTGTATCGTCCTCGTTACAACATCACCGATGTTTAAAATTTCTTCCAACTTCAGCGCATTCTGCGCTGATTATACAGGGTGCCCCACTAAGGCCGGCGAGGTACGATATTTAGGAAAGTACAGGCTCTAGAACTTCGGGAAAGAAATTTTGATGAATAAATCAACCAAGAGATATCACTGGAACTAATTTTCAAGTTCGTAGCTTGGACGCTCGGGGGCGCAATCTACATACCAAAACATAGAGTTGAATTTTTCTCAGAAATGTTTCCTATTCAGGTATATTAAATAGTACAAATAGAGACAGCCGGATTCATTGCGCATAACTTTTGTTATTGACATTTTGGCCTATATCTCGGGAAAGGGTGGGGGAAGCCCCTAATATCTGATCAGAAAAATACATTTTTTTTAAGAATTGGCTCATCAAAAGCCCATAGTGTTATACCTTGTTGGTAAGGTATTTTCATGCTTTATCTCGTGGTGAATGCGTAATGTCATTTACGTCAATATGGAAACCTATAGGTGGCGTTATTTCAAAAGAAAGCCGTTTTATGGATTTTTTGACGATTTTTCCTGTCCTGCATCTTGTTTCCCTCAAACGACCCTCAGCCTCTCTAAGACTGTTAAATTTGGGCATAGAACAAGCTTCATCGCAATTACATATATTCGAGAATTAGAGATAAAGTATCAGGACATTAAAAAATATTGACTATATTGCAAAAAATGGAATTTATCAAGATTTAACCCCCAAAGCATGTTAGCCTCTATCTATGTATGTATTAAGATTTTAAGTTTTGTCTAAAAAAAAAATCACAAAAAACTCCACGTACTCCTTTAATGTTTTCTGTATTTTTTTTCGCTTTATAATAATTGAAGGTAATATTTCTTTGTCGCTATAAGATAAATAAAAAAACTGATTAATCCACGCTCATCAGTTCTGGAGGATCATCAATTAAACAAATGACCGTAAATTTATCTCAGCGCTTTAAGCAGTTGAGTTTTATTTAAAATGAAACGCCTTTCCTTCATTTGCGAAGTGGAGGCGTTTTTAAGAAATTAGGGTTTTTTATGATTATCCGCCAAAGAATAAANACAGCACTATACTTTCTCTAAACTGACAGATAAATAGGTCTTTTTTAAATATGCAACAATTTATTTTTTATTGTTTTTGATAATTCTTCAAAATATGCCAAATAATATTATTACTGGCATCCTGCCGTATGCCAATATATTCATTATAATTATTGTTTATATCACAAGAGGCACAACGTTACGTATATAAGCCAGGTTATCGAAACTAAATAGACGTGGTATTGTGGCCTAAAGCGTTACGTGTTGTCCTACTAATCTAAAGGTTCGGTGTTCGATCCCTGATGAGGTATGGTTTTTTTTCAATTATTATAATATTTCGAATGTAATTTTCTATCGTCCAGATTTCAAGACAAATATTTCCGCACCAGTTCCTGGTCACGAAGTGAATAATTTCTCACCGTGTCGCCAAATATCTGCTGATTCGATGCGCGCTAGATTGCTTGTAGTCCAGTTGGTAGAGGTTGGGCGTGTGTCAAACCATGATAACCCGGAAATAACTACACAGGTCTACTTTAAATGATGAGTACAATAACAGGCTAATTTGCTGACAAAGTATTTTATCAGGAAAAAA